ATATCTTGAAATCAACCTACAAGCTGCTGAGGAAAAAAAATACGTTTTCTTATTTTATCTACTTTTTAAAAAAGAAAATGGGAATATTAAAAATTTTAAATGCAAGGATAAAATGAAGGCAATTAATAGAACAAGTTGAACCATTATTCTCCTTTGAATTGTGACCATGTGGTCAATAGTCTTTATCAGCAAAGTGCCCAGATTTGACTCTTCTTCATTCATATGCTACCAAGATAGACTCACAGAACCTGCTGGAAAGTTCATATGAGAAAACCCCAGAGAAATTACTTCCTAGAACTTAATGTGTAGATGATATGTTCTACATGTTAACATGATGTCCTAGATTCTAAAATGCTAAGTGGAAAGGTCAGGTAATAGGTACTTGTAATTTTAGTTTTGAATTTAACTAACATAAATGAATTCACAGTATATATTTCTCTCAAACTCATGTAGCCAGAGACTATGCTAGTAAAAACGATATGAGCTATACAGATGGAAATAAGTCAGAGCATGAATTGAGTTCAAGAGAACCATTAGTCTAGGATTCAGATGTAAAAACGAATTGAAAGGTCAATCTTAGACCAAGTGATTAAAACCCAAGGTCTAAGAAGCAAATGGAATTTCAGACTCCTTGGGTATTATTGGCTTCTCCTAGTACAATGTTCTCCCACTCACTCCATCAAAATACAAAATATTTTCTAAGCAACACTGCTATACTCTTTGTGTTGATGTCAAATATGGCTTCTGGATAGAGAAAATTACACAATACCTCCTGAGTTGTTCTCAGCTTAAAGGGATAATCCTCACTATGCCTTTTGAGATTTCCAGGTCGAAAATGCTACTGAGGTTGTAAACACTTTGTAGAAAAACTGTTTCTGTAAGCCTGAGCAAACCTGACATCACATGATGAACAGTGGAGAAAGGGATTATCTCATGATGGTAAGAGAATGATTTAGAAACAAAGTTAAATGAAGAGGGGAACAGTATTGCTCACAGAAGAGAGATCAAACACTCCATAGAAAATACATGTTATGGTGCAATTGCCCCCTGGGAGTCACAGGATTATGAAAGTCTAACTTAATTAAGGGAGAAAATAGGTCACATTTAATAACCACATGCATGACACATCACTTGAACTATGTAAAATAACTAAGAGGAGAAAAAAAATAAGAAATCATAAGTATAAGAAAGACAAGCACATAAAGTATCAGTTTCTTCTAGTCCTGGTCAGGTAAATGCATTGACTTTGTACATAGAAGAAGTTCACCAATCTTCTAATTTCTCTTTTCAGAAATACTTGCAATATACTTGAAAACAAACTGCAAGTATCAAAAGAAAGAGAAACAAAATAGCCTAGCCATAGTTCAAAAATTAAATAAATAAAAGAACAAAATTCTGAGATAATAAATATACTTTTCCTTATTAAAATAAATAAAATACATCATGCATCTTTCTTTCCTTTCTCTTTCTCATGTCATCAAATGACATGGAATCCATGCATCAAATGTGTGGAATCTTTTCCCTTTCAGGGCTTGATGTCCCTGTGGGGTTGAGCTAATTACAGGTACATTTTTTTTTTCCTCTGGACTATAGTCTTACTCTGCACAGTGGAAGGCACAATTAATAATTGAACAAAGCTAGTTGGATTTTTCTTTTTCTCACATGACCACAGTTTGCAGTCGGCTTTGCTGTCACACAGGGACCAAGTCTCTTCCTTAGGTGTCTCCAAGAAAAGGCTTTGCATGATAGACTTAAAAAGATCACCCAGTTTCCAAATTTTGATAGGAATGAAAAACCCACACACAAAACATCCAAGTTTCCTTTATAGAATGGCACAGGCGAGTTCTCTCTCCTGTCACCAGGAATATGATTGTGATCAGGTGGTTATTTAGGCCAGATGTGAAAGAGATGAAAGAATAAGCTTGGGAATTAATAGCCATTGTAATGGGAACAGTTTGTCTTTGAATCTGCAAATGCATCAGGATGCTAGTTCTGCAGGTGCCAGAACTGAATTTGACCCACAGAGAGTGTCTAGATAGATAACTATAGAAAAAGAAAGTTCTTTTCTTCAGATGTCTGAAGGAACTTGATGGAAGGCATATGCAAGGCCCTGTGGGATCAATGGCAAATGTAGCAAATACTCGTCCTGTGTCCCAAGCCATCATTTTGAGCAGGGGTCTGTAAAATCTAATGGGCCAGACAGATACAATTTTAAGCTTTGCTGCAAACCTCAGTTTTGCTGTTTTAATAAAAAAATAAAGCCATAGACAAAATGTAAACAAATGGGTATGGCTCTGTTGGAATAAAACTTTATGTTTGTACACTGAAATTTGAATTTCATATTTTTTTGCATGCTGAAAAATAGGATTTTTCTTTTTATTTTTCCCCAATCCTTACCAATTTAAAAACCTTTCTTATTTACAAGCAGTACATAAATAGGGCAGTTTGGCTTTGGCCTATAGGCTATAGATTGCTGACCCCTGGTATTGACTATTGGCAATCCTTGAGAGTACACCAAAATTTCTAGTTGATTTTGCAGTCTCTGAGTTCTCTGAGTATATGCAAGTGCTAGCTTTCCTCTGGAAGATAGAGCTTGTCCTCTGTTATTTTGTTGATTTGAACATCATAGAAAATCAGCTTATTCTGGGTGTGAATCAGAGGTTCATAATTGTGGGAAAGTTTATTAATCATGAATCCTAAACTCCTAGACAGGCTGGCAAAGGTCTTGGAGCACTGGTTCTGTCTAACATTTTTTCTAAAGTCAAGAGACAGGAAAGAATTCATAACTTGTTCTGGTAGCAACTGCATTTTTGCCTAAAATTATTATTTACTACTCAATATGATACCAAAAGAAATAATATCCTATTAATGTAGCTCATTACTTGACCATAACATGAATACAATTTATTTTCCTACTTTTTATTCCCTTTTTCCTGTTTTTTAATCCATCACTTTGTTCCATAGAAGAGATTAAGAGATTATAAATAATATATTTATATAACCATTTAAATTAATTATAAATCATAAGACAAAAATTAAAGTAATTCCAAGAAAATAAGGTGAAAATAGGAGTGTGGTCTGTATATGAATTTGATACCATAAATTACTATGTAGATTGTGTAAAAATCAATTTTGTTAATATGCAATTTACATATAATAATTTACATTCTATTATAGATGGATCATAAATTTGACTCTGAGTTTGCTAACAGTCAATTCAATGAAAGACTCATGATCATTTATGAAAACTCATTGGGTCTATTTATATATAAAAAAACATTGTTTATGAAAAGAGTCATAAGGATATTTAAAACAAAGGGGAATTTTCTCAAAAGGACCTTTCAAAATAAAATTACATAAGAATATTAATAATTTATCTTTAGCAACATCAAACACATTGATATTAGAAGTTATCTTTGATAAAACTGTAAAACATAGGCCATTAATATTTATACCAAATTGCTAGTTAGAGAAAGATGCTGCTTGGGGCAGGGGTAGGTGAAATATATTTGGGACTAATACAGTGATATCCAGGTATAATGTTCTCCAAAGGTTTAGTTCATTTCAGAGGAAAGATGGATGATATCTTCCATCTTTCCTATGTGTCTTTTTCCCCATGTAAGGTATAAAACAATTTTGACATTGATTTCACAAATAAGTATGTCAAACATTGCTTGCATATATTATCAATAAATGCTGAGTAGCAAGTATTAATAAGATAGGATTTTGAGTGACAATTTCAAGAATGCTTGCATAACTACATAAGCTGGTCCAATCTTCACCTGAGAAATTAGGAATAATGTCACAGGGGACCCCATGTTCTCAAATTACAAAATACAGAGATTTGTAAAGACATTAAAACAAAACACTACCCTGGCCTTTTAGAAATATCTTAATGGCAGATATATGCCATTTTATGCCTAGCTTTACACGGTTTTAAGGTGTTTACACGAATAGATTATAAATTAAATTCTAGATATTTTGTGAAGAAACCATAAGAGAGCATGAGACATAAACTGATTAAAATTTGGGGGCTGTCTATCAAAATAAAAGACATTTTATAGGAATAATTGATCCATAGGTCTTCTTTCTGGAATAATGAAACAACAGGCACCATTCTACAATGACTACATTACTTGGAAAGGTAGTTTTCCATATAAGAAAATATAATTGATAGAGTAGGGTAGTATACATGTAGTTAATCCCAAATAATTTGGTAAAATACTCAAATACTCTTCAAAACCCCAGAAGTTTTTAGAACCTCATTGATGTGAAGGTAGAAAGGAGGGGTGTTTTGTGGGAAGAGGATTCGGAGGACATTCCTGGGAAATCTTTTTCTGATATTCCTGGATTTGTGTCAGTATCTGGCATCCATGATAAACTCATGCAGCTTGGTCCATGCTAGAGATGCATCACAGAACCCGATGCCAAAGACAGAGCAGCAGAAGTAACAAACAATATTATATTATTCCTAGCTAATTTCTTCACAAAGTAATACATAGTAAAAACTATAGTTAAAAGCAAAGCAAAACAAACTTACAGAAAGCTCGGTAATTTTAATTCATATAAAACATTGCCCCAAGACACTCAACCTCCAAACTGACATACATTTTAGATATAAAATCAAGTCACTTAATACTCCTGTATTTGTTGCCTTGGAAGGATTCTATTAAAAATGAAATAAGATATATGCATATATACATGTGTATATGCATATTCAAATATGTATATACGTATGAATATGTATATACATGTATTTTCATATATATAAATATCTGTATGAATATTAATACAGACACAAACATAAACACATATACACATATTCAATTCTATGATTCTAAACATACAGAAATGAACACATTAGCAGATAACATAAGGACTGGAAATAAGACCTTGTTTTGATTTTCTTAGCGTTTTAATAATAAGATGCATGCTTGTCCTTTTGATCTAACAGAATGTTAAATAGAATGTGGCATCCTGAAAATTGGAGGGTTGCTTACCGGTTGGTGTAAGGTGTCTCCAGGTGATAACAGGTTCAGGGCGGCCATTGGCCATACAGACCAGGGTCACATTGCTGCCCTCATTCACAGTGACATCTGAGGAGATGTTGGAGATCTTTGGTGGAACTGTAAAGACAAAATTAAATATTATATTGAACTATGTCAATAAAACAGGCATGCGGCATTTTCTGTGTTACTGAAAATGCAAAATTGAGCTTTAATTTCTTAATTTAAACTTATATGTTAAGTAGCCAGGGAACTTTTAAGGTCCTTATAGATGTGCTCACCAAGTAACCAAGGAGGTACTAAAGCTGTACTATAAGGTTGAGAATATCTACCATTATAAGCATCTGAATGCTGTAGAAAATATACAGTCACACATTGAAAATGTGGTAGCTATTTTCTGATAAAAACATATATATATATATATATATATATATATATATATATATAAAATAGAGTCCAATTTCTCCTCCAAATGCCAAGGAGAATAAGCATTATTTAGTATAAGATTGCATCACATTTTTAGTAAAATGTGGTACTTATCACTTAGAAACAGGAGAAAGATATGGGTTAATCAGTACATTAGAAATCCTGTAAGTATTTTTTTAGTGTGTTAACACACCACATGATATACTTTAGAACATAAAAATGAATTAATAAGGCATATGTCACAAACAAGTAGACACTGGAAAAAGTCTATACTACTACTATTCTTAATATTCCCATCACCTCTACTACTAATAATTTAGTGATAAGTAACTTTAATTAAACACTTACTATATCTAAACCCCTAGGTTCTGTACATGTATCATCTTAATAAATTCTTAAAATAAAGACATGACATCCTATGAGGATTTTATTTACAGGAGGGGCACTGAGGCATAAATGAGATCTGGCAAAAAGCAGAACAGGAATTTGAATCCAGGCAGACTTTAGGACCCATCATGCTCTCAGGCACTTCCTGAATGAAATTCCATCTTCACAATCCAGGCCACCAGATGGCCAAAAATGACAGAAATTACTTTTTGGTGATGTGAGAGATGAGTCCCCAAAGGCAAACAGTACTGCTGTCTGATTCCTTCATTAGTGTTCAGGGTGGCAACGTTAGGTTCCACGTTGCTAGGCTTAAGTGGCATGTGAATTATTCACAAATTTCATCTCAGAGGTTATGTGCTGATTACAAATAGATGGGTTTGTGGTTGGACTGTGATTCCTGCCCCCTTTTTCCTTTTTACTCAGTTGCTCACACTGTTCCTGAGAGAGCATGTTTCTGAGAGAAGACGAGAAAACATGAAGGGGTTCAATAATAAAAGAATCTTATTTTTCTAACTCTTTCTGGCCTCCACGGACTCTGTATTCCTGACCAACAAGACATTTTTTGTTTTAAGAGGTAACTGCCCTGATAGCCATATGATCCCTGCAAATCCTTGAAGGGATATTGATGGTACTTGGGCAACTGACCAGTTCAGAATATCACTAGAAGGAAGTGAAAGGAAGACCCCCCTTCTTTTAGCATTCTTTTCAGTGTTTTTTTTTTAAATTAAAATCTTTTAATTCTCAAAATTCACAATTGCAAAAATGAAATAAGCAAGACACAGACTGGGAGAAAATATTTACAACACAGTGTTATTTTTTAAGACCTCTGAGCAGAAAAGAATGGCTCCAAATCAAACCCAATGGCAGAATATTCCCATTATATAACAACCTCTATTTTAGAGTCTCCATTCCTTCTTTTGGCTATTGGGGTTAAGGATCATTTTTTTATATTGATACAATGACTTGCAACATATTCTGCAGACTTTTATAATGGGGACTTGAAAGTTCATACCCATTTTATAAGGAAGAACATGATATTCATAACAGCTTGTCTAGGGTAATTCCTTCAAAAACTATGGCAAGACTTACAATTCAGACTTCCTGAGTGTATATTTGTTCTATTGCTTAATAGACACAGTTGCTAATATCTACCTGAGTGAGCCAGTGTTATGGAAATCTCCAAATCAACTGCAATAAAATATAAATCATTGATAATGTTCAAAGACTAAGGTTAAACATCTTAGGTGTCTTCTTTAGTAATCTAAAATCTGTAACAAGAAGATATATAGTAATTATAAGAGCCCATGTTAATGGTAATCACTGAATTGCACCAAAGATACAGTATAAAGAGAAAATATAGCTGTTTTCTAATCAAAAGGGGATTCCAAATCCCTAACATAAAAACATGCAAATTTATACAACAGAAAAAAGTCTGTAGTTGACAGAATTATCCCCAGAGAATTCTTCTTTATTTTAAAATTTACTGTTACCTCTTTTTTTTAATCAAAGAAATATGAACTAAGGATTTTGCATGGACATGTCAAGCTAGTTAAGCCATTTGCTCAGTCTTACATAGACAGGTACTAGTAAAATTGGACATGAAATTTAGAATAATTGATGGCAGGGTTATTTTTAACTATATTGTTTCTCCTAATTGAGAGCACTATACTCAGTCCTGAATCTCAGAGATTGGAGAGGCAGCAAATGTTGAACAGTTAGAAATGTAATCACATTGTCTCTTTGTATCCCTCTTGTCTCTGGGTCACTTCCATGGATCTCACTTCTTCATTATTTTCCTACATTATTTTGTACTGACTTCTTCCCATAAACACTCATATGTAGTCTTTTTACTCTCAAAATAAATTTCTCTCCAACTCCACACCAACTTTCAACCTCTCTTTCCAAGTTTCATGAAGGAATTGTTCTGAACCACATCTTCATCTCCCATTAACACTTTAATCTCCAATAATGTGGATTTTCTCTTAATGCTTCAAAGAGTCTGCTCTAAAGTAGTTTACTAGTAGCCATACTGTTTCTAGGTCCATGGGCAATTTTTGTCTTTTTCCTATTTTTTTTAAGTATTTAACTCTGCTGATCATCACCTCTTTCTTACAGTTCTTTCTTTTCTTGTTTTCTAGGACACCAAACTCAACTGCTTTTCCTCTACCCTTCTGGTCAGTCTTCCCAATTTAACTGTTGGGCTTATCTTATCCCTTTCCTTAAATATCTGCATATCCTCTTTCTTCATGTCAGTCTATATATTCATCGAGTGATCTTACCTACTTTAGAGCTTCAAACTAGTCATGTCAAGATGACTTCTAAATAAGTATTTTCAACCCAGATTTTTCTTATAATCTTTATCTCTATATTTCCAAGTGACTAGTCTATACCTACATCATATGCCTCACAGATACTGAGCATAATCATCTATATTCCCATGAAATACTTGAGTTATTTTTTTTTAGTGAATGGTATCATTATGCACAGATTTACCCAAACAACAAACAACAACAACAACCTATAAGGTATCTCCCTCTCTCATTGCCCACACATAAAAATTAGTCCCCAAGTTCTGCGGTATATGGTATATGTCTTTTAAATATCTCTCAGATTCATCCATTATTCCCAGTGCTTACTCCCACCATGCCATGTTTTAGACATCATCATTTTTCATTCATCCCTTTGTTCTTTTTGCCATTCTTCCTTATTTTGCCTGAATTATTGCAAAGAATGAAAATGGTTCTTTTTCTCTAGCCTTCCTTTTCTCTTGATCACCAACATACATTCACCACACTACAATCAAGTGTTTTTCCTGAGTTATAGATTTGAATATCTCTTGGTTAACCTCATTGCCTTTAAGATGAAATCCAAACTTCTTAGTATGGCTTAACAGGTCATTCATGGTGACTCCTGCTTACCACTCTTCTTCTCTTTCCATTACATCATCCATATCTGAAGTCAGACCAAATAGTTACTAGTTCTTGAAATGATCTACTCACTTATACCTGGCATTTGACATTCTGTTTTGCCTATATGGAGTATCCTTCTTTCAACTCTTCATGTGGGTATCCCCTTTCCTCACCCAGCTTTCAGTTAGTCAGCTGATCTTCTTACTTTCCTGTCACTCCACACCACCCAACATGACATGAGGAACACGGTGCTGCGTTATGTGTTCTAAATTTGGATCCTGTAGTTCTCCACCACCACACTGAATCATAACTGCTGTACTACTTACTTGTGCCCTTTACTAAAGTTCAAGAGACAGAAGGAAGGGTCTCTGTTTTCCAAATGACTGAATCTTAGAGAATGTAGTGCTTGGAATATGGTAGATGTTCAAAAAGAATTTGAAAAATTCCAATCCCCACGAATAACTAAAAAGAACAAATAAAAAGAAAAAAAAGTAGCAAACTGAAAAGATTTTTCACAGCAAAGAAAACAATCAATAACATGACCAAAGACCCTTCAGAATGGGAGAAAATCTTTGCTCAATCTTTGGGTTATTAATTTTTCTGGTGTACCTCAAATAAGGCATTAATTTCCAGGATATACAAAGAACTCAAAAAACTTAACACCAGAAAAATAAATAACCCAATCCAAACATGGACAAAGGAACTGAACAGACACTTCACAGAAGAAGAAATATGAATGGTCAAAAAATATAAGAAAAAAATGTTCAACATTTCTAGCAAATAGAGAAATGCAAATTAAAACTACACTGAGATTCCAACTCACTCCAGTCAGAATAGCAATTATCTAGAATACAAGTAACAATATATGTTGGTCAGAATATAGGGAAAAACCTACACTCATACATTGCTGGTGGGACTGCAAATTGTTGCAACCACTCAGGAGAACCATATGGAGATTCCCTAGGAAGCTTGGAATGGAACCACCATTTGACCCAGTTATCCCATTCTTCCATCTATACCCAAAGGACTTAAAAACAGCATACTATAATGACACAGACAAATCAATGTTTATAGTAGTTCAACTCACAATAGTCAAACTAAGGAAACAAACTAGGTGTTCTTAAATAAATGAATGGGTAAATAAAATACATGTATACACAGTGAAACATTACTCATTCTAATAAGAACGAAATAATGGCATTTGCAGGCAAATGGATGGAAGTAGAGAACATCATGTTAAGTGAAACAAGCCAATCCCAAAAAACTAAAGGTCGAATGCTCTCTCTGATTTATGGATACTAACCCAAAACAAGTGAGGTTGGGGAGGCAAATCCATTGGATTAGACAAAGGGAAATTAAGGGAAGGGAGGGGCAGGGGAATAGGAAAGAAGAGTAAAA